ATATATTTATATTTATTTAATTGGCGAACAAATAAAACAAGAACGTAAGAATACAGAGCATGCTCATTGCTCTTTGTTTTCGTCACATGTCATGGTGGGAGACATGGAGGGATTATAAAAGTCACGGTGCTCCTTCTGCTTGGTTATTTCTTGCTTATTGGGCCTTGGACAGTGTTCATAGTTGAGTGTTGTTAATTGCTATGTTTAATGGTGTAGAGTTGTTATTTCTGACATGGGCAATATGGCCAACCGCCCAGGGTGTTATTTTTTTTAGGGATGGCAGGAGACCTCTGTGGATTGTAGCACAGCGATGAAAGCAAAACAGAATGAAATGAGTTTTAATTGATACTGGTTAAATATATTTCAGCTCTAAGTATTTAATATCTAGGTGTTTTTATGGGAAAGTGGATCTTTCAGATCAGTTTGATAAGCAATTTTGATAGGTGCACTTAATGTTATTGTCATATAGCACGGGGTGCTGGTCTTGATTTTCTTGGGTTCGGTGCTCTAGACTACAACTCTGCTACTTGGCTCCTTGGTTCCATGTCGTCCTGCCAAACTAAACTATGTTACTGAGAGTAAACACAATAAAAACATGCTTTATCTGTGGCATTGTTCATTAAAATGGCACATTTCTAATGTATTAAAATTAAATATGATCTTAATGATATTGTATTAGGGATTAAGTAATGCATTCAGCAAGTACTTTTACTTTTAATACTTAAGTATTTTTAAAAGCCAGTACTTTTTTACTTTTACTTACGTAAAATGTTAATGTGGTACTTTTACTTGAGTATGTTTTTGTCTGTGTATTTGTACTTTTACTTAAGTACTTTCTCCACCACTGTTTAAGTCTATAAGTATGTTTAAATTAAACACAAAACAAATGTTTCCAGAGTGCTGAGGATTGCTTTTCAATCTAAAGCATTTAGATGATCTACCTTAAACAGAACTTTAATTTAAATTTATGACTAAATTTAATTTAAATTAACAACACTTAATTTCCCTTTGGGATTAATGAAGTAATTTTGAATGTGAAAATTCATTATAGTGTGAGACAGGAAACAGTGAGAGGCGTTGTTGGAACGGATTCAATTTGGTGGATTTCCACTTACGTGATGAAATCCATAAAACTGGCCAGAGGTTCGTACGACTGGTTCCTCATGTGGCGAAACTCCACCACCATCTTCTCCTTCAGCTTGTCGTCGATGACCGACACGGTGAGCGGCGACGCCTCGTTAGCAAGGAAGCTGCCGTAGTCGGTGCTCTGCAGATGGAGCTTCAGGTCTGCAGGGAGAACACAAAGACAGAATATGGAGATTAACATATATGATATATCATATCCTGGGAGGGACGAGAACACATGAAAACATTTAGGTGATTAATAAGGTCATATTAATAAAAATATATTCAGAGCAAAAGAAAGTCTGACTTCAGGAAAATCTCAAGTACTTTTCAAGCTTCTCTACTTGTAAAACTGATGTGAAACTAAATTATAATGTCCGATCCTTAATGGATTAAGAAGCATATTTTTGACTTTTTTGATTAGTATTTTGCAAAATTTGCAATTTCAGAGCTTTGCTTTAGCAGTGAAAAAGGGCATCCACAATCTTATTTTTAATTCATACCGACATATGACATAAAGGTAAAGTCTTTACCCATCATTTAATTCATATGTAATTCAATTAATAAATCTGTGGTTAGGAATAAAAACAAAGTAACTTTGAAAAATTTTATATTGTAAATAAGAGCTGAATATCTGAATGTAAGCTATTACAGGGATTTGTTTATAAATCCATTTATAATCTTAATAAAAACACAGTAATGGCAGTGGAGAAAAAAGCTGCTTCACTTCCTCTAAAAAGCCCAATAATCTCGGGAACAATTTCCTATATTTACTAGCTAGCCAGTTAACATAGAGATGCTAACTAGCATTGACAAGCGCGTAGTTCCTCAATCGTTTAATATTATCAGGACAAATTAATATGATTTTTGATGCGTATAGACTATTATAAATAATAACTAGTTTCTGCAAGGTTCAAGTCTGTAGTTAAAAGCCTTCATTTCCTCACAGAGAGCTGATGACAGCTGATGTTAGCATTTAGCCGTTAGCTCCGGTCTCCTTTATCTCACCTTCCAGAGTCTCGCATTGAACCAGGTTTAGGTAATCGCCCTGAGACAGTATTCCAGCTTTGAAGCCCCTCACCAGGCCCTCCAAGTAGCCGTTATCGACGTTAAAATACAGCTCGGAGAAAGGCATCCTGGCTGACCGTCAGACCGTCGCTGCCGCTGGGAAACCGTCAGTCCTGCTAAGAGTTAGCGTCAGCTGACTGAGCCACGTGACCGTCATCTGATCCGTCACCTGCTTCTGCGTAACTTGGAGTAAGGAGGCAGTGACGCAGATCGACCAGTAGGTGGCAATAATGTCCTCGCTGCTCACTGCCATTTTTTCGAGTGATAGTTTGATGGCCAAATGAACAGTATTTAGTTTAGTTCATTGTTTATTTTGAACATGATTGGAAAATAAACGAATAAATAAAACAGAGAATGATCATAAAAACATATAATCAATAGAGATTTCAAACTATTCACAGAATTTGTTAAAATCTACTAAGTATCTCAAAATTGCCCCAGTCTCATGTTGTTGATCCTCTGGGAGCTAATTTTTTAAGACACTCAACAGAAGTCTTTAACTTATGTCATAATAGATGAATAATGACGTTACATACTGCAATATTCAGTACAGAAGATGCAAATATGTGATGTATGAATGGTCAGACCCTAGATAATGATCATGGGGACATAATGCTGAAACTTGTTGAAACAAAGCAGATTGGTGTATTCATTATCTAATAATTAATTAATGTAAGAATGTAAATGTAAACCATATTGAGTAGCATTTAGCCGCCAATTTTTAGACAAAAATCACAGGGAAGTGGCAGTGAATGTAACCCCATAAAGTAAAATGGCAACAGACATAAAAACAAAATTATCAGGTTTATATGAAATAACTCTCTCTTCAAGATCAAAATTTCCATGAATTCTTCACTTTCATTGTGATCTGGAAAAAGTTCTGTTAGAAGTTTAAATGCACTCATCTACTACTTTTGCTGATTTATTTGAACCATCATTTGTGCATGGCAGAATGATTTTACACAATGTAACTTACATGTAAGTCCTGATTTATATAAAATTTGTATATTTATGTAATTTATTTTTTTTACATCTCATATACTGTTTTGTTATTCGTCTGATGTAATCTTCTAATCTTAAATGTTGTGTTTCCATCACCTGTAAGCAGAAAATCATCATAGTTAGTGGAAATAAAGGATTGAAAACATTAGCTTTTATTATCCTATATAATGTGTTTCCATTAGTAAGTTACTGAAGCAAATAAACTTTTCAATGATATTCTAATTTATTAAATATGTCTGTATACATCCCCATTTATAGTTGAATAAATGTTAATTAGCAAGCTTCAACTTGATCGCTGGATTTTTGCTGGATGGATATTTGATGACTCGTCTTTGTGTCTGAATGAATGTTTCCTGTCACAATGTTTTTAAGCAAAGTAAAACATTTTTTATAAGATCAAGGTTGGTTTAATGTTAGCTTGATTTATCTATTTCAAACCCAGCTATAATGAGTGTTTTGATTCATTACAATGTTAAAACACTCAATTGGGTCAACTTTGACCCAAATTGTCACCATCAGATGGAGAAGAATTTGGTTAGAAAGTTCAAAAAGAAACCAGGAACAACCAGTGCTCAAACCAAACATTAACTGGTAACTAGTTGTGCTCCAGTCCAGTAAGTGGCTGTATTCAAATTACGCTGACATTGCTTCCTGTCATCAGACACAAAATCCATGTGACTGACTGGTTTAACCAGAGTGACAACAAATCAGACTCACTCACTCATCTGGGAAGCGATGCTGTGTTTTACACTGGTTTATCGTTCTGAGGTGGATTAAACCTTTACAGGTAGGAATCCTTAACCGCTTAAACTGCATGTATTTAATTGTAATTTATTTCTTTTTATTTTTCAAATGACAATTCTACCTGATATTTGCCAAAGGTGTAAAATACTTTCAAATGAGGAAATGGAGGAAAACAATTCTTCACCTAAATCTACTTTGTCTGCACATATGAACAAGCAGGCTACAGATAACAGGTGAGAATATGAATTATGTTTTTTACTGACAGTGTTCAGCTCATAGTTCTGCTCTAACATAAATGTTACCTGCTCATTTTGCGCTGAAGCCAAATGGAACAAGAAAGACCAGAGTCATCTGATTTAAGCTGCGTGTCCATGGCGACTGAAAGGTCTAAAATTGACCCAATTTATTTCAACAACGTCTCGCCTGAAAGTCAAATGTAAGATTTCTTAACTGTTATAAGATTTTACTCAGCTAGTAGAAAGTGTTCTGGTTAGTCAAAAAGATTTTAATCAATACTAAATCTTTCACGTGACCAATTTTATGTTATGTCGAAGCCAAATGGACCAGCAGAGACCAGAATCACCTGATCACCTCTTAAGATTTTACTGACCAATACACAGAAGAATATTGATTTAAACTATTTTTACATTAAAACAAAAACTTTACTGGTCTAAAGTTGAGCTAATTGAATTCAAGGAAGGAGGACTCTGAAAAGAACTTTTTTTTTAGTCAATCATTTGACATTTTATTTGAAGAACAAGTTTTAATTTAAATGTTCTGGTTATTCACAGTTTGTGTTGACGCCAAATGGCTTTCCAGAGAACAGATTTATCTGTCAACCTGTGTGTAGAATCCAAAAGGCTCAGAAGAGACGAGAATCACTTGATCGCCTCTTATCTGATAATAGAATATAAGACTTTACTGAGTCATACTCAGAAATAATTGATTAAATATGTTTGAATTTAAAACACATTTTAAATTCAAACAAAAAAATTGTAATAGCTAATTTTGATGTACACTTTGTCTTGAAGCCAAATGAAGCTGCATGGACCAGGACCTTCCCAGGCAAATCGTGAGTCCATGGAAAGTGACAGGTCTAAAGATCAACCACTTCAATTCAAGCAAAGAGAACCCACCGGAAATGAAAAGTGAGACTGTACTTTATTATGGGAATTTTCAGTTGTAATAAATCTTTTTACATTTTATTTGTGGAACAAATATTAATTGAAACTATTTATGAATGTTTAAATTTTATATGTTGACACCAAATGACTGCAGAAACCAGATTTATCAAAGTCCAGTAATTACTATGGACTTTGACCAGCTGTTGAAATAATGAATTTCAAATTTATGTGTGACACAGATTTGAACTACCTTTAACTTTTAAATGTAACTAATAAATCTTAATATTGTTTTGAAGCCAAGTGGATCAGGAGACATCAGAACCACATCAGCCATGTTTGGTGTCCACGTTTGCTGAGAGTCCTGAGGAATCTAAAGATGAACCAACTGAACCCAAGACACGAGGCCACTCGCTTCTGGAAATGTAAGACTTTATCACAAATATTAAGGCCTTTTAAAATGAGGCCAACACAAATTCATTACATAAACAAAAACTCAACTAATTTATGTTGTGTTTAAAAAGTGCTAAAAGAACAACATAAGGGTGCCATGGCAACAAATATGAAATGTCATGGCTGCTCTTGCGTCATAATTAGCTAAAAAAAAAAAGAATGTGAGAGTAGTTTCTGAGAAGAAATAAAAATAAACCGGATGAAAACCAGACTGGCAGCTTTTTATAAAATCTATTCATAGATGAACCAAAACAATGAGAAGATACAAAAGCTTAAGCTTTTTTAGTTATACTTAGTAGTTCTGCTTCATTGAGGCCCTCTCTCTGCTCAGCTTGTTTTAAGAATCAAGATCATTAAAACTGTAATTTCCTCATTTTTGAATATAAAATGACATTTTATCTGAGCTGAAGACGGCCTGCACTGCAGTGGACTCTAGCAGGTACCTAAGAGAAATACAGGACATTTTTGAAGCAGGTGAATAATAAATCAGGCACTATAATAAAAATGATTACAATCTTACCAAAGCATTATTAGTCAAACTAATGTTCTTCTTACATCTGTTTTTAAAAAAGTTAAATGGAAATGAGCAAAAAAGTATTTTATTCAACAGCAAAGATTTTCATATTATTTTACTGCATCTGATTTTTGCTTCAAAGCAAACAGATAATTGCCTTGGTAACACCAAGCTGTATCACAGTGAGTGTGACTGCAGTGGACTAAAGTTAGCCTGTAATCTGCTGTGGCCTTTCTTCATTTCTTTTCTTCGTCTCTTAGGTTGGCTCGAATATCGACTTTCTCCAACCAGAGATCAGAGACTGACAGAGACCATAAAGAGCATCTGGATTCTGTTTTCAAGGTATAAATGCAGCTTTATTTCTTCAGATCTTACACACATTTTGTTTTTGGTTTTCTTTTCAGCTTAGTTTCAGTTGAGTTCAGGACAAACTGTGAATGATCTGAGCAGCAAAATAAACTTTCTCAAATGGTATAACTTTTTCATATTTTATGAGAGGAAATGACCCTAAAGAGTTGGTTCACATCAGATTTCCCATCAGGAAAGTCCCAAGTTTTAAAGACCTAAATCCTGTTTGTTCACATTGTTGCCGTTTACTGGCAGACATAGCCTCTTGATGAGCTAATTTTAGTTTCGGTCAATGCAGCAACAACAATGACAATGTAGAAAAGGCAGGTGATAATGAGCTGTTGGTCATAATCAGTCAATAATCAAAGAAAACAGGTGAAAAGTAGGAAACAGAGTTTTTGCTCATGAAATAAAACATTTCTCACACATGTTCACTTCACCCAAAGCCAGGTACCAGGAGGCCCAGCAGTAAAGCAGGTGCATCATATGCAGTCCTGGGTTCAGTTTCCAGCCCCCTGGTCATTTACTGCATGTCCTATCCTTCTGTCTCTGCCCTTCTTCCTGTAAAGCCTCCAACAGATAAAAACCACCAGGAGCAAAAATTATTTAAAAAACAAAATATATAAAATGCTCACAGTGTCTCATCCCTGCTCAAGAGGTCTGAAAAAAGAGAAGACAGACTGATTCCTATTGTGAATAAAGTGTTTTTTTTAACTTAACGTAACTAGAGTTAAACTAAATAATTAACCTGCATAACATTGGAGAATCATCAAATTATTTGCAATTGGTGTGGATACAATGTAAATGTGTAAATTTTGTATGGTGTAACACAAACAAACCCTATTCAGTTACATTCAGTTCAATTCAGTTTATTATGTGGCGCCAATTCACTACAAACGCCGCCTGAAGGCACTTTGCTTCAGTTAAATCATACATTACAATTAGTCCTAGTTATCAAACAGT